ATTTCTATAAAAAATTAATTTTAGACTAATAATACTAACAAAACAATATAACAGGCCACATAATACATGTCTAATACATGTCCATAGGCCATTTTCGCCAGCGGCGGATCTAGGGGGGGCCGCCCCCGGGCCGCGGCCCAGCCCTCCCTCGATCCAGAGCTAGTATAGCACGTGTAAATTTTCGATTTTTGGTGTTCTTTTAGGTGTTCGTTCCCGTGTTTGTCGTGTTACGGCCCAGCCTTCTCTGCTTTTTTCCAATGTGGCCCAGTGCTCTACCCAATCCTGGATCCGCCGCTGATTTTCGCCCGCGACAAGGCGTGACATCGCCACCTAGTAGTTATGTAAACCAACTGTTATATTCTAATAACCGTAGAACAAAAATGTAAAGAGCATGATCTTCTACTTCTTGAATGGTTGGATGGTCTAGTGCTATTGTCGATTGTATTGAATACATCGGCTGAAAAAATAATAAAATAACTAGCTTGCTAGTTTGTATAATTGTAATATTAGTTTGTTGTTACTAATCTTTTGATGAAAGTTAATAAAATATATTAAAAATATACACCATAAGTGTATCTAAGAGAGTTTACAAAACACCAGTTAGTCTGCAACAAATGAGAGTGACTCACAGCAAACACACTAAGCAAAAAACATAGCCAACAGAACCTAGGAGCATAGCAGCACACACCACACGTCCACACCTACACAAAACGACCTCTCAACCCCAACAACTCTCCTACTAATCCCACATGCACAACAACTCCTGAAAAGCCCAGGAAAAAAAACACATCCCCTAAGAAATGAAACTGTAACTAGGATCCATGACACTATATCTCAAAATCATTTCGAAATTGTGACTGCTGAAAAATTGGACATGCCTCAATAACAAATTTATCCACTCGGTTTTACTTTGGTTGTTCGTGAAGTTGTTTGTCAAACCTGCTGCCGCAATCCACCCCATAGTGCTTCTACATTCATACGAAGTATCACCACAGGGTCTCTCTTCAAACCCGCAGCCATGCCTATCATAATATTTGACAGGACTTCTCTAAACTCATATTTTGCTCAGTTTCAAGCAATGGGTAAATTCATTTACAACTTACGAGAACACATTAATTAATTAATTAATTAATATATATAAAGCTCAAACATGTTTACTGTTGTCTAATACTTTCATTTGATTGGACCATGTGTTCCTTAATAAATCCATTTGATTGGACCATGTTTGTGGGTGGGTAAATTCATTTACAACTTACGAGAACACGTTAATTAATTAATATATATAAAGCTCAAACATGTTTACTGTTGTATAATACTTTCATTTGATTGGACCATGTGTTCCTTAATAAATCCATTTGATTGGACCATGTTTGTGGGCTTTTATCATTGATCCGCTTCATTTTACGTTTGTGACCAATTTTATTTTTTTTATTCGATAACCCAGCGAACCTCAGCCTCCACGTGCCGCTTGAGCGACAGCGGGGCCTACAAATCATTGGGGGTACCTGCATACTAATCGGGGCTTTCTGCTACCAACATCGGGGAGACTTCGCCTCCGATACCAAGAGTGCCGCCGGGAACGCTCAAGTGACGCCACTGGGAATCGAACTTCCTCTTCTCTATTTAATGCAACTACTCAAACATCATAATAGAAAACATCAAGTTTTGGGTTGTACTGCTGTTTTCAATTTTCTGCTGCAATTTTTGGTGAAGATTTTGTTAGTTATCAAGTCTCAGAACCTAATTGTCACCCCGCTTAATGGAGAACCTACAAAGTGAAGACCAAGCCAAACTTCCTAATTCAAGCACCTATGAAGCTCATAGAAGAAAGAAGATTAATTACGAACACAGGGAAGACATACCAATCCACTGGAACTCAATTCTGCGACAATGATTTCGAAAAGAGAAAATATGAGAAATGGATCAATTTTCAGTGTCTTCCATAGGATACAAATATCTTCAAAGTTTACTGTCTCTCGACCGTAGCTACTCCTCTACAGCAAGGCTTCGATTTAGAACCCACCGCTGCATGCAATTGAAGCAGTCAACGGTTGTGGTCTTCTTCATTCTCTATCTCACTTCCTGGCTCCAGAATCACAGACCCAGCAGCGACGAAGCAAGATAGCGCATGTGCCTCGCTGCTGAATGTTGGAGATGAATGAATAGCTTTGAAAGCTATAGAGTTTCAAGTGGAAAAACTACCAAATTGGTAGTTTTATTTGGTGAAATGTGTATAAAGATATGAGCATCTCTTATAAGGGAAAAAATTCAAAACTACCACTATAAAAAAAAATATATAAAAATACCACACATACCCAACAATTTTAAAAAATACCACCCTTCCATACAAAACGCACCTCGAAGGGGCGGTTATCAAACAAAACGCGCGGTTTGACTCTACCTGGCTGTCAAACCGCGTTGCCACGTGGCGGTACATGCAACCGCTGAATGGCGAAACGATCCGACGGACAAACCGCGCGCCAGCGGGGCGATCCGCGTCGATCAGTCAAACCGCTCCCCCGAAGCGCAGTTTGACTGTCGGGGAACGCTAACCGCTCGCTGGAGGCGCGGTTTTACGCGGGGTAAAAGGAGGAAACCGCAACTCCCTCACGCGATTTCGTCCCTATAACCTCCCCCCCCCCCCCCCTTCCCATTTTCTGCACACCAACCCATTCCCCCCTCTCTCCCTCTAACTCCTCACTCTCCCCCCCCCCCCCCCCCCCCCCCCCCACACACACACCCAAAAACCTTAGAATTAGTTATTTTGTTGGTTGCGGCTAAGTCCGATCTGCCTTCAAACAACTTTTTCTTTGGTTTTCACTAAAAAACCGTCGAATCTCTGTCCGGATTCGGAACAAATGGCCGATTTCATCCAAGACGAGGACATTTTCTATGATGATTATCAAGCGGTACATACTCATTTTACCCAATTATTGTTGTTGTAATGTTGTTATAATGATTTATTTAATTTATATACTAATTGATTTATGTTGTTGTTATGCTATCGTAGGTTGGGCCGGATGTTGATATTTACAATCAACGATATTATGTTGATCAAGGACCGATTGATCCGACTGTTTTATATGATCAAGCTAATCATCGTTCAAGAGACGTTTGGAACAACCACAAGGTACATATTATTTATCATCACTTGTAATTTGTATTTTGTTAAAGTAATTTATTTGTTTGTACAACTTAATCGTTAATCGTATTGATTATTTTCAATAATTTAAAACAATACAATACAACACTTATTTAGACTCTTTATAAAGAAATGCATGTCTAAGGAAATGGGGACTTAAGCGATCATCATGATCCCCCATGACCTCGGAAAATCGGGTTCTAAGAGATCATCGGATCCCCCCTTTTTCTGTCAAAAAGACTATGTTTCTAAGGAGATGTATACCTCTCCTAAGAGTCTTACGAGTGTACTTGTATTACTTTAAATTATTGAAAATAATCGATACGATTAACAAAATAATATATTTGATTTTATGTGTATATGTACCAAAAATAATTATACTTAAATTTCGAAAATTAAGTAAGTTATGTTAAAATTAATGTTTATTAGATAATGTATATTTCTCTAAAACAACCTTGATTTAATTAATATTGCATCTTAGAAAATTATTTTAGTTATGTTAAAATTATGTTTATTAGATAATTTACCTTGATTTAATTAATATTGCATCTTATAATATTATTTAGTTATGTTAAAATTAATGTTTATTAGATAATGTACCTTGATTTAATTAATATTGCATCTTATAATATTATTTATTTATGTTAAAATGAATGTTTATTAGATAATGTATATTTCTATAAAACAACCTTGACTTAATTAATATTGCATCTTATAATATATTTATATATGTATAAATCATCAACTTATAGTGAAATTTAAATTCTTCTCTAGGATGCATACCATATAGTCCGCTATAGGGGCACGACGAATGTGCTTGCATCTTGCCCTTTCTGAAAAGGGCAAGATTGGATTCGATTAGGCATTTTAATGGAATCAAGATCGACCGCCAACTCATCACTGCATTGGTAGAGAGATGGCGAAAGGAGACACACTGCTTCAATTTTCGTGAAGCCGAGTGCACTATCACACTTAAGGACATCGCCATCCTAACCGCTTTGCCCATCGATGGTGATGTTGTTTGTGTGGACTCTACGCCACCACCTAAAGTTGTTGCCAATATGAGTGGTTGGCAGCATTTTATATGGACGGTCACCGGGTTGTGTCCGCTAGAAAAGGGAGATCACGATGCGGATGGTCATCCACCATTGTCCAAGGGCCAAGTATCCATCACGTGGTTGACATCGGAGATTAGGCGTAAGCACAACCCTGAGTTCGGAGGCATTCACCTCACGGAGGAAAGTTCAGAGCGTGATAAAGACATTTATGCACGTATCTACATCCTCGGCATGATCGGAGGAGTTTTCTTCCCCAAGAAATCCAACAACCTAATCAGCAATTCATGGTTGAAGATCATACTTGGGAGTTGGGATGATATGGGAAACCTGAGCTGGGCATCTGCTTGCCTAGCTCATCTTTACCGATCCCTCTGTAATGCTAGTGCGAGAGCGGTGAAGGAGATTGATGGGGCCATGTTCATCGTCCAATTTTGGGCTTGGGAGCATTTGCCATGGATTGCGACGAAGGTAGACCCCGACAAGGAGTGGGGTCCCGACCATCCCCTACGACATGAAGCTTATGGTTGTAGGTAAATGTTTTCTATCCCACTCATAGTTCTCACCTTTTTTTACTAATTCGGTATTTTTTAACGAACCGGCTATTATGTATTAACACCCCATACTTTTTGTATTGAATAGGTGGCTTGGTGAAAAAAACATGCGACAACCTAGGAGCACATAAGTTGGAGGAGTATCGTAGGAGGCTAGATCACCTTTGGAAATCAGAGGTGAGCATCATAATACGCTATTAATTCCTACTTTTTTTTCAACTTATATTATTATGTAGATTAATGGTCTATTTTTTATGCACTTTCGTAGCTTAAGTTCAATCCGTATCCAGAACGCATTGAGGCGCATCACGTCCACAAGTTCCCGTTACATCCCGGTCAATGGTGCACTTGCCGGATCGATGTCTACGGCAATTTGGACGTGAGCAATGCCTACCATTGGATGTCCCGGAGAGTCAGAAGGGGTACCACGGGAAAGATGGCCGACAAGGAGCTACTAATTGGCAGGAGGAGTATGCGAAATTGATCCGCCTGTGGAATGTTAGACAAGATCAGGATATTGTGACGGGATCTCATGTGGGGCGGATGGGCTACCATGACCCTTACATGGAAACATACCGAAGACAATCTGTTCGGTACATGACCCCCGAAGGTGCGGCGGACGGAGCTTTGGTAAGTAATTCAGTTTTTATTTATTTAGTCATGAGGTGCATTACTTTTTAAATGGCTCAGGTTGTTATTTTCTTCTATTTAGGTTGATGGCATCGAGCGAATACACGACCTCGCGCGGACGGCAAATCATTCGACTGCGGGTCGAGAGGTGGGGCTCATTCGAAGGATAGCGAACAGTCTCCTTGGCTGTATGCGAGCGCGCGGACGTGATTATCATTGATACCCGCCAGTTCCCCCAGTGAGACCGCCGCAGGTGACGGAGGATGTTGACCCTGTGCCTCCGCCGGTCCATAGAAGGCCAAACAAAGCTACAAGGGATCGACCTCACGTGCCGGAGATCAAGCCGATTCCGGCATGGAAGGTGCCTACTCCTTTGGAGGTGTGCAGAAGTGAATGGGGGAGTACTCAGTATCATCCCCGGTCGAGTTTTCACTACGACCCCACTACTCAACATGATCCTCGGCCCAGTTTCCACTACGATCCCACGCCCGGAGCCAGTATGATCCGCGGTCGAGTTTCCAATACAATCTCCGGCCCAGTTTCCAGAATGAACAATGGCCAAGTGCATTTCATGACGCCACATCCTCAGCTACTTGGGCCGATGGTTCATACTCAAGTCCCCACCAAGACTTCTCACCTTTGCATCGACCACAACAACAATGGCAATCCACTCCCCACCGTATGAGCGTGGATAGCCCTCGACCGCACACGAAGGGGCCACCTACCACGACACCAAGGCGGCATAGCACGGAGGATCGCCCTTCTACGGCGAATAGGAATCTGCCACCCGTTCCACCATCAGCTACACCCGGTGGACCAGTCGCCCATCGCATAAGGAAACATAGGGCAAATCGTCGGAATAATGCATGAGTGTGACAAGTTGTGTTTATTTCAAGTTATTTTTGTTTAAATTAAGTTGAACAATTTGTTTTTAGTTGAACAATCAAGTTATGTTTTATTTCAAGCCATGTAGTGTGTTTGTTAATTGTGCAAATCTCCAATGTCATTTAAGCACACAAAATACAAGTAGAGTAACCATTGAAATTAATACACAAAGATAAAACAAATGCATTAAATCAATCTATGCGCCATAATCGGGGAGTTCCACATCGGGCCCTGGATTTTGAGGACCAATTGCTCCGGGACATTTTCGTTTATCATGCCCGGGTACTTTGCATATGGAACACTGCCTTGGCCCTCGCGGTGGTCTTCCACTTTGATCCATCTCATTTGGAATCCTTTTTACCCGCGGCGCCCTGTTTCCCGCCTAAGACCGATTGGTGGAATGATGACCATACCCTCATAAACTGGCCAGTAAGCTTCATCCGGCAATGCACGGAAACTAGTACGATAACTGCTCTTTTGTGAGTCAATGTTGAAGAACGGACTGACTTAATGACGAGGGTCTTTGCTCCTGTGCTTTATTACAGCCATTGCATGGGAACATGGTATCCCTCTACCCTGATACTTCTGACAAGAGCACTCCCCCTTTTTATTCTTAAAGTTGACGGTGACTTCATGGCGATGACCCCCACGTCTCCCATCCTCCCACTGCCCAGTCTCGACCGAATACTCGCCAGCATTTCGGTTCATCACAGTGACTTTGTGATGAGAGCTCTTCCGATTATCTTTTTCCATTATTTTTGTGGCATGATCGGAGTGTACCTTACCCCGTGCCTCCCTCTTTTCACACCAGTGGAGACGGTTGACGAACCATCCGCTTGTTTTCCAGAATATCATCTCAACAATTGCAGAGATGGGGAGTGCACGATATTCCCTGTAGACGTTGTTGATACTCTCGCTTGAGTTTGTTGTGGCAATACCCCATATGGTACCTCCGTCCTTATGAAACGTCCACATTTCAAGGTCATGTTGATCAAGCCACTGCGCACCTTCAGGGCATAGCTGACGGATATTCTGCATCTTCTCTTTAAATTTCTTCTCTTGGTACGCGACATCTGATGAACATTAAATAAAAACATCAGGTAAGCAAGCAAGACCGACCTTACCCTCAATACAAGTACACTCGTAAGACACTTAGGAGAGGTATACATCTCCTTAGAAATACATTCTTTTTGACAAAAAAAGGAGGGATCCGAGGATCTCTTAGAACCCTATTTTCTCAAGTCATGGGGGGATCATGATGATCGCTTCAGTCCCCATTTCCTTAGACATGCATTTCCTTATAAAGAGTCTAAATAAGTGTTGTATTGTATTGATTTAGTCCTCGTTTTATACAGTTGACAAAATTTATATAATAATTAATTAGAACGCTTACCGATCCACCATAGACTATCAGCAAGCTTCTTTCGCTTGAAATGATGGTTCCAGTTGCTCTTGAATGCCGTATGCACCATCTCTTTGACCAGTTCCAGGCTGGATCCAAGCCTAAGATAACAGCCCGTATACCGGCGTGGCGATCTGAGATGATAGTCAGGTTCGTCCGCCTGGTGACATGGAGCTGGATTTGTCTGAAGAACCATCCATAGCTATCGGTATTCTCTCCCTCCACAATGGCAAAGGCTAATGGATATACTGCTCTATTTGCATCTGCTCCGCTGGCGATCAGTAGAGTACCCTTGTACTTGCCGGTAAGGAATGTTCCATCAACTTGAATCACAAGAACACAGTATGGAAAACCATCAATACATGGCTTGAATGCCCAGAAAAGACGCTTGAATTGGCGCTTGTTATCAGGCACTGGCGGTTGAATTTCTTCATCTTGGTAGCGAGGCGAGAAAATGGTGCCAGGGTTAGACACCTCCAACGCCAAAATCAATTTGGGAAGGAATGCATATGATTCTTCCCAGTCACCATACACGGCAGCCATGGCTTTCTGTTTCCCATGCCACGCTTTCTTATAGTTAATGATATAACCATAACGACTAGAAATGTCGGCGATCATGGGTTTCACCTTCAGGCCGGGCTCATCCTCAATTAGATGTTTGATAGCCGCGGCAACCACCCTTGATTTCAACTGTCGATGGCCTTGGGATGTTATTGATGACACACATGTGTGTGTGTTCACCGCACGGGATATGACCCAATGGCCGACTCTCTTGCTCTTGATGGCCCGGACCCTAGCTTTGCATCCCTCATTTTCATTTTTGCATCGAACCATCAGCCTCTTCGTGTCGGAATGGGTTGTTTGCCATTCAAAACTCCGAGTCATTGCTTCAGTGGCAATAGCGTGCCGGACCTCATTCTTCGTTCCAAATTGTTGGCCATTCGTAAAGCCCGTGAGTGAACCCCATACTGGCACCTTTGGCGGGTCCATGTCGGCATCAACATACCAATCTTCATTTTGAATGTAATTGTAGTATGGAATAGGTACACGGTCGCGAGGTACCTCATCACCGTCTGCGTCTGAATTTGGAACGGAATCATCAGCACCTTCCAGCGGATCGGAGCTGTCTGCACTAACTTCGCCTTCCTCTTCTTCAATCTCAGGGTCACTAATTGGACTTGGATTGACCTCTTCTTCCATCTGCTTATCATCATGAAAGACACCTTCACCAGCTCCGTAATGGTAGTTGTGGTAACTAACACCGCTTTGATAGAAGTTGTACTCGGGTGGGTACTGGTAGCCTACTTGTTGGTTGTGATCCGCCCGTTGAGCTTCTTCTTCATATGACGGGAAGGATTGACGATGACCTCCATTTCCATGATGATACTCCTGCCTCCAACTCGAGTCTTGGAAATCCTGGTGGGATGATCTTCGTATAATACACTCCCACCGTGGATACCAGATGTTTGGCCATATCCAGAATGACCTACACTGCCTTCGACGGCCTCGGTGTAAACGAACATCTCCGCTTGCTTAATTTTATTGGTGGTCAAAAATTGGACCATGTCATCAACGTCCTCCTGAGTGGTAAGGAGGAATTCCTCATTCCACAGCGACCCGTCATGTCTGTTTGGATATCGATACACCATTTGATCAACTCTTCTAGTGCCATCCATGCAGGTAATCTGAGTGCACATTTGATGGAGCTCTTCAAGCGTCGGTCTCGTACGGACCTTCATTTTATAAAAATTGCCACCGACGTAACTTACACCCTTTTCGGTCTCTTCCGTGTAACCATTCCACTGCAACCCAAGCGTGAACCTTTGGAATGCCATCTGCAATTAAACTGTAATTAAGTTACTAACATAAAATCACAAAGGACAATGAAAAGTAACACAAGAGGGACATGACAATGAAAAGTAATTATGTTACTAACATAAAATCACAAAGGACAATGAAAATTAATTAAGTTACTAACATAAAATTACAAAGGACAATGAAAAGTAATACAAAACAAACTTACGAATTAACGTTAATCACAAAAACTAAATAATTTAAAGGTGCAAAGCGGAAAATTGAAGAAGGAAGAGGAGGAGTGTGAAGAATTTGAGTTCTCTGAATCAGCCTTTTATAGGCGAATTTTGCAGCACAAACCGCGGGTGGGGGGAGCGGTTTTAGGTCTGCCATGCAGCCCCACCCCCTGCATGCCGACATGTCTACTGTCGGGTGACCAGGCACAAACCGCTCCTTGGGGCAGCGGTTTATGTCTGCTGTCGACAACAAACCGCGCCTTAAGGCAGCGTTTAATGTCTAGACATGGTTAACCGTGCCCTAGAGGGGCGGTTTATCATGCCAACATTTAAACGCTTTCTCGTCAAGCGTTTTGTGGTAGGGTTTGTATATAAACCACTCCTTAGAGGAGCGGTTTTAGCTGGAATATATAAACGCTAGTTTGCGAGGCGGTTATAATGTAAACCGCTGCCATGAGGGGCGGTTTTTAATAAAGGATGGTATTTTTGGAAATTGTTGGGAATTGATGGTATTTTTGGATTTTTTTTCTAAACAGTGGTAGTTTTGGATTTTTTCCTCTCATAAGGGCATGCCCCTTGGGGTGACCCACTTTTGTGGGAGAGGGAGGACCTAACGGACCACCACACACACGTGCACGCTGTCAATCGGGACTATATATTTTTTAATTGGTTAAATGGAATATTCGAAGGATAATCCCGCAGGAATTATCTTAACATACATACGGTTTTAATTAAGAAAGTAATTATCTTCCTTAATTAATTTGACTTATTCCCCAAGCAAGAGGGTATATTTCTAGGGGTTCGACTCCTATAAATAGCCGCCTCCCCAGCCCCTCTAAACACACGACAATGAGCATAAAC